GGCTGAAGGATTTTTTACTCCAGTTAAGGGCGCTAAAAGGATTGGTTTATGGCAAAATGTTTATACAACACAAACTTGCACTCTAACTAGATAGCTAGAAGCACAAAATGGCCGCCAATACACACAAACGAATGGGTTTGAAAGAAATGTCCTTTCCACATCCGCTAAACTCAGTCATATCAGCAGTGGCAGATGAGCAGGAAAGCTCTCCTTCATTCAATCGACTCCGCCTAATTTTCAATAACGAAAAGGTCGGTCTTCTCTTGAGGTCTCTCCCCCTTCAGTTTGAGTACATCTGGATCAAGTCGTATACGATCTTACTAAACAAAAGCCAGTTACCTCGTATATTTGACTGGTCCTGACAGGGCGACCCGCCCATCTCTCTAATTTAGGATGTATCATCTCATTATTTAGACCGTACGTCTCTCGAGCCTTCGCTAACACATATTCCCTTGTAATCCAGTTGCCATAGCGACCAGGTTCACATTCGATGAGATCATATGGTGGCTCTCCATCGATCATCCAATCAGATAGATATTTACCGACCCCTCCTGATGGGAAAACACAGAAAAGAAATAAAAAAGAAGTTTTTCAACCCCTGTTGGTTTTGGAGGAATTTTTCCGCAATTGTTTGACCAGAACAAAGAACATCCATCACTCACCCGCGAGACCAATCCCATAACCCGTCCCGAGGGCCAGCCACATATTAGGGATCTCTGCATCGGGACCGAGCAAGGGAATAGCGTCCGGGGAGTAAGTTATAGGACCTGAAACAACACTTGTAATTTCGGCATTGGCAAGGACGGGTGTTCGCTTCATTGCATGTGTCACGTAGTCACTGATGCTGTCTAAATCACTTTCAAACAATTCTTTTCCAAATCCCTCTGGAACAGCGTCCCACCTTTAAAAAAATAAATAATAAATCAAAAATGAGTTAAAACGAATCTGAGCCAGTTTCATCTCGATTCATAATGGAAACAGGTCTTAGTGATATAACATTTCAAATGACGACAGTATTTCATTGCTGTCAATGGCCTAATTTGACACTACAGCAGTTCTTTCAGGATCAGCCGTTTAAGCTTAAATTGGGTTGTCTTTTATGGAAATATATCCAAATAGATCAACAAACCGAAAACGAAAACGGTAAAACCCAAGACCGTACAGGCTAACGCTAATCACGTGTTCTTCGAACGAAAACGATCAGACAAGTTCTCTATTGGGATGCTTCAACCAGATCAACCACAACCAGCTACAATTGAATCGGTTGTCCTCAATAGAACACGACCCTTGTAACACCGGGAAGCAGTGCAACTAGCTTACCAGTCATCTTCCATTTTCATTTTGTCCGCGCTTTCATATGTGCCAAACCCAATTCCTTGCTTCTCCTGACGGCTGTAAACTGAACCTTCCAGGTCCCTCATAAAAGGAAGTTCTTTCTTTAAGTTCGCCACTTCGGGAATTGGTCCCGTAAAAATATACTGATGATGTACCACGCCCAAAGCAAGTTCTCTCCCTGTCATGCGGCCTATCTCTCTGCCCCAAAAGCCTCGGAATGACAACACCATAGAGCTTAATAACACAGAATGTAACTGAGGTAGCTAAGTCAAAGGAGACCCATTAAGGCACTTAAGCTATGCGCAAAACTGGCCATTTACATAACTAGTTTTACATAGAACGGACAAGAAAACTCCCTTGATGCATTAAATTTCAATGCAAGTTTTAAGACTGTAAACTGTTTTTAAGAAAGTCAGCTACCTGCTGCATTAACAACGTGCTTAGCTTTGATCGTTCCGTGCGGTGTTTGCACGTCCCACCTGCCATCAGATCGGTAGTTGAGCCCAGTGACTGGAGCAGGCATGTATATCTCGGCCCCATACATCCGCGCTCCTATACCAAGGGCCTGTGTCATGGAATACGGATCAATGTAGCCATCCTCTGAAAAGTGCCGTTAGTATGATTAATATTTAAAGTCCACCTCTCCAACTAAACTGACATACATAAACTATTTCTAATGGATGATCACAGTACGATATTATCTTGTCATTCAGTTTATTGCTAAATACTAGTTATGTAGCCGTTTCTTGTGGTATACCGTGGAATATCACACGGGTCACTTTCTGATGGTATACCACGAGAGAGCGTTCCATAACTATTTTATACCATGCCATACAGGAGCCAAACGAGGCGCGTAGCACCGAGTCGAGTTGGCTATAACCATTTAATATCCAACAAGGGAGAGTGGAATAATTGTATTCTTAAAAACACCCCCAAAATGTAGAAAACTAAAATAAAAAAAAAAGTAAAAGCGCCCCCAAAAATCACGCATACGCTTACTACATTTGCAGAGCATGGTGTAATGGCTCATACACCACGATGGCTAACATGATCCAGTGTTTGATAATAAACCTTAGTATCACTCAACTAGTGGACTAATACAAATCCTGCATTTTAATTGGCTACGCTACTAGAGGAATAGTCCTCGAGTAGCGAAATTGGCGCA